TATTTATTACATTATTTTAAAAGCACATGATTTAATAACCAAAATAGCGCTTGATGAATGTAGAACAAACTACACTATATTAAAGACAGTGAAATTTACAATGCTCATTATGTTATTCAAAACTAATTTTTTTAATATTTTCGCCCTATGTTTTCCCCTACGTTAGTATTTCAAATGGTTTAAAAAACATTTGCACTAAAATGACATAAAATGATATATTTATGTGTTTACACAATATCTCTATAATGAACATATAACTAAAATGATAACAAAAGTAAATATTTAAACAACAAAGCAAATTTTTGAAAAACTAGATTTTTCTTACTTGCTACTGTTTCATATCACTAATGTAAAAATGAAAAAATCTCTTTTTCCCTATGATTCTTACACTTTCAAAGTGATGCACCTCTAAGACAGATAGCTAACTAATGACAATAGAAAAACGAACAGGATACAAACCATTCAAAGCTATAAAAGTGATTGTAGTGTTGCAATTTCAAGTATTAGATAGCCTTCGATGGTCAGACCCAAGACTCTCCCTGCCCCAAAAAGTTTCTCCCACACCAGTTTCTATCATAAAGTTTTGGCCTGTTTCCCTTTTCCTATTAATTCCTACATTTCCTAAATATAGCCTTGCCAAGGACATGTTTATCGCATAAACGGAACTATTTGTTGTTTCTTACTTTGAGAACTAGCTTAAGGAGTATATTTTAAGTGCTGTGTGCATAATGCAGTTTAAAATATTAAATTACTTTTATTTTAAAAAAAAGACATGCATATCTGTACTGAATCATGCTGTAATTATCTTTAAAAATGAAACTATGCTTGTTACTTTGCAAGCCATAGTTTGGCCATGTGTGTTGTATAAGCTGCTGTAATCCCTTTAAAAAACTATGAAGCTTAGAAGACTGGTATTGTTATGTAGAGATTCTGGCTGGTTCACAGGTTATTTCTAACTGTGTTGAAACTTGACAGAAAATGTCAGGTTGAGTGGTAGGCACCAGTAAAAGTTTAACAATTAAATGTGATTAAAGGATCCTTTTAATTTTCTGTGTATGTTGCAGAAAAAAAGAGAATGCTTTCTCATCCCTTAATGAGAATTGAGCCACAAAAGGTAGACATGCATTTTGAAAAAGACTTCTTATGGGTGAAGGCCTGAAAGCCCAGAAGGGATAATTAAAATTGATTTCATAATAGGAGGTAAAAGGTTATGGATGCTTGTCTTGATTTGTCGCCATTTATTGTTTGCTTATTCCTTAAGCTGTGATGCAAACAGAAGCCTAGACAAATGTCTTATTTTCATAAGAGATATTTTGTTCGGGAGTGATGCATGGGAGAATTTCCCACGGTGGACGAGAAGAGGAAAATACCCTACTTCATCTTTCTTGCGATGCTGTAAAAAATGCATGCGGCATCTAATTTTTAGTTGCTGCGTGATTCTAGTTGATTCAGAAAAGGTTGTGGCAGGATTGTGTTGGACCAATTAGGCTCAAGTGAGGCAGGGCTGCATCAGAAGATGGCTTTTAATTAATAATTAAAAATAGAAAAAATTTTGGTGAAAATGTTTTTTTTTTGGGGGGGTGGCTGCTATTTATTTGCTTGGGGTTAGAAAAAGGAAATGATTCCTATACAAGGGACTTAGGTTAATAACTAGTAGAAAGTTGTGTTGGTTTTTTTTTTTTTTTACTTCTTTTTACAAAGTAAAGGAAGTATTGTAATCACGAAAAATTCCAGGTATCATATTTCAACAAAAATATTCATTTTTACTTCTACCAAATACAATTGAATGATGTTTGTTCGTGACATCTGTATGTAATGGCAGAATAAAGGACTCTTTTTCCTCAAACGCATTATAAAATGGATTCAAAAGAGATCTTTTAATGACATCTGTATGTATGTGTGTATCTTTCATAACTCAAAGACGACTAGCCTCAGAATGTTGGAATTTTGTACATAGGACTGTTATAACATGTAGTTGCGCGCCTCCCTTTTTGGTTGCACTCAGCCGCACCAAAAGTATGCATGTATATATATGTATATGTGCTCACTCTGCTCCCCAGCTCCGTAAGCTCAGTTGTGGTTTTTTTTTTTTTTTAAATGTGTGTGTTGATAAATTGTGCCTTTTTTGCTTTTAAAAATCATTAAATTACGTTCCTATCTTCTAATAAGGTTTTTATGCCTTTAGTTAATCTGCATGTGATAGCTGTAGAATTATCAGAAATTTAAAATTCGTTTAAGTGCGACTAAGCCTAATTTCCCCCCCCACACACACACACACAGTTTTATATTTGTTTACATTTGAAACATGGTAGAATAGTGATGCATTTTCAGTGTGTTTTTGCTGAGTGGAACCAAAAGGAAACTTAGTTTTGTGCACCGAAAAATCTGCCTTTTTGCCTGCTAGCTGAATTGCTTGTTTTTGCGCAGAAACTCTTAATTTTAATTTTAAACGTTTTTTTTAAATTGTTTTAACTCTATTTAGTGTTTTATGTTTTTCTATATCTTTGAATTTTTAATGGGAGGACCAGTAACGCCGTGGCTAGAACCTCACGCAGCAGCACCACAGGTCCAGGTTTCAATCCCTGTGCTGGACAAGGTCGACTCAGCTTTTCATCCCTTGATTTCCATCCTTTGGGTCGATAAAATGAGTACCAAGTTCGCTTGGGGACTAAACACTGGGAGTCCTGTGACAAGCTGGCCACTTGTTCAGGGCATATGCTTTAAGCAACCTGGGGCCCAAGAAGACAGATTTCGAGGCACTGCAGGCATTGGCCCACTAGTTTTTGTTTTTGAATTTTTAATGAAGATATTTTTAGTTTTTATTTATTTCGCCTTCTCGTGAAGTGAGAACTGAATAAATTGAATGAGAAATATATCTCTAATGAAATTCAAGGAAATAAGTGTTTCGTATTAGCAGCAAATATTGTCCCCAGTCTGTTTCGGACACAGCAGAATGTAACACACAGCGGAATGTAGCGTATTAGGTAAGTGGCGCTGAATCTCCTGTGAGAAACTGTTTCTTTTTTATTTGTTAAATTTCTTTTATACATCGTTTTAGATTTATAGTATTTGAATAGAACATGTGGCAATGATTAGGTAATTCTGCAGATGATATAATTTTTCTGCATTCTGAGTTATAAAATGAATGAGATGTAACACTATTAAGCGAACCTAGTGCCAGAGTAAAATTAATCTAACTCCATCTTCTGGACTATTCTTAAATGAGTAAGGGAAATAATAAGATGTGTGAGCATTTACATTCCTGATTTTACAATTTAGAATATTGGCTTCTGCTAGCAAATGATGAGGTGTGATATTCTGGGCATGGTGTTCCTGTTCCAGAGTTCATAAAAAGACTGTTGTGGACTTGTAAAAAATCAGGCTCTTACTGATGACATGCAACTCTCCTGGCCTAGTGATCTTGTTTTCTGACAGACTATAAAGTGTCCTTAATAAAATGTGAAAGTGGTAATATTTTATTCTTTCAGAAGATATTACGTAACAAGCAATAGCTGTAGCAAGATATATTCTTGTGTTTTTCATACCCTACATAGTCACATAAACCAGGTACCTGTCATAGTTATAATGACAGATACTTGCTAAGATTTTTATGGCATTAATTAATTATGTTTTTTTTTTTTTTTTTTTTTTTTTTTTTTAAATATATAGAGCTTGCAAATGCTGGTCGCTCTCTATTTCCTGGAAGTGATGTTGATGACCAGCATACTATAACGAGTTTGCTCTGAACTGATATTTAGCGTGATAAAAAAACGGCTTCACTCTGCAAACTGTATCGAACTATGTTAAGAACGAGTTTCGTGAATTCATTAGCAGTCTGACTCTCAGAAAGTTATTCTTCAACACTGCATAAGTTGTTTTAAATTAGGAATTCCCAAAGTCAGCTCATGCAAGTACCCTTCACCTCCTTCTTGCATGTAGTGATAATTATGTAACACTTAGAGATGATTATGTAAATAAAGTGTTAAAATATGAATATTTATTCAGGAGTTGAGTTCCAAAATTAGGATAAAATCTTTATTTTTATGTTATGGCGACTTTAATATGTTAGTGTAGTACTTAAGACTGTAAAAAAGAGAGAGAGAATATTTAAATAGCAATGATTCTCTATATGTATGCGTTTCTATCCACTATGCAGTTAAAGAATTGTAAATTTTGTTATGTTAATTGAACCTAGTGTTAATTATTTGTATTTGATGTGATAGTGTCAAAATGTTCAATTGAAGATAAAATTAAACACATGTTTATTGCACCCATCAGTAATGTTCATGATTAAGAATTAAAATGTTTACTTTTGTTGCCTCCTTGGTTTTCTTACCTTATAATCTCTGTCTGTCTTCCACCTATTTTCTATAATATTAAGATATATATTCCTTAAAGCAGCTGTACTCTATTAGAATGTTATATTCCCCCCCCCAGCCCTGTGAGCTAGAACAGGAAAAAAAGTTTCCAAATGCAGTTTGTTTCAGATCTTTAATGTGATCTAAATTATTTGATTTTTGTTGTTTGTTGTTTATTATTTTATGATTTCCATTATTTTTGAAATTTGACTATCTCATCTCTGTGCATATAATGTTTTGAAACATTCACAGATTATAAAACTGACCTTTTGCCTTCTTCAAGACAGCATGTTTAAAACCTTGATAAAAGTATAAATATATTTATGTTAATAAGTGTGTGCTTACTCAGAATTACGTCAAAGAATATGAAGTCCTGTTTGAAAGTTGCTATATTTTAATGCTTTCTTATTGCTTTATTAATTTGCAGAAATCTTTTGATTGGTCCTTAATAAAATGTGAAAGTGGTAACATTTTATTCTTTCAAAAGATACTATGTAACAAGCAGTAGCTGTAGCAAGATATATTCTTGTGCTTTTCGTACCCTACATAGCCACATAAACAGGTACCTGTCATAGTTATAATGACAGATACTTGGTAAGATTTTTATGACATTAATTAATTATTATTTTTTTTAATATATAGAGCTTGCAAATGCTGGTCGCCCTCTATTTCCTGGAAGTGATGTTGATGACCAGCTTAAAAGGATTTTTAAATATCCTTTAACTGTTCTCTCGTTTAAATTTAAAATTCTGTTTTTAGTCTGTTATAAAATATAAAAAGTAATATTTCATTATAAATTTAGATTTCAGTTTCTTGCTTACTCAACAAGCTAAAGATCAGAGCATTGTTTAAAAAAAAAAAAAAAAAAAAAAAAAAAAAGGTAAGTATTTTTCAATTTACAAATGCAGATTGGCTGCTGAAAATCAAAAATCATTCATATCTCATTGTAAAAATATGTAAAAGCTAGATAATATATTTTGTATGTAAAAATATACATTGAATAATTAAAAATAAATTTTTAAGAGCAAATTTTATCCAAATATATTTATTCTGTTTGTTTAAAGAAGCTGGTCAAAAAACAGTTCTAGTTCCAAAGAATCATCTAAATTAGTAATAATTGTTCACCTGATGTTTTTAACTAGACATCTGGTATATATTTTTCTGTCCTCTCCCATGTTAACTAATTTAATATGTTAATTTCACAAAGTATATATGTATGTAGCGTGTATGTATATGTCTCCAAATAAATTGTTTATAAATATTATATGTACAGCAGGACCACTGGACTGGATTACATCCATAAATTAAGGATTACCTGTACTTGCGTGTCTCTTATATGGAAGAGCGGATTACTTTTTTTTTTTTAATGATATGCTTTATGATTAAATTTGATTTCATTGGGTAATTTTGAGTAAGGTTAGTGGTTGTAGTCTAATTTTAAAAATACATTTTATGAGCATTTTGCGCAATGATTAAAATTTTGATGCATTCATATTTTATAATACATATGAGTGTTATATTTTTCTTAACAATTCCACGCTTTTGGGCACGCCAACAGAAGAAACTTGGCCTGGAATGACTCAACTTCCTGATTATAAGGTATGTGTATGTTTATTATTATTATTATTATTTCCTGTTCTGTTTGTAAATAGTTTTATTCCAGCATAATTCTAAATGAGCATCTTGAACTTAAGTTGGTCAATAAACTATATGATTAATATGTACCCTTGATTCCACAAATTTTTGCTGTTGATGATGTGCTAACATCTATGATCATCTTACATAATGATTTGAATTTTGAATAGGATATTAACATTTACCTGTCAGTTTGAAATTTTATATTGCCACGTTAAACGCATCCATCTTTGTGATATATCATGACATAATTTCATGGTTAATCAACATGCAGATCATCTTCAAGATGCACCTATCCACTTTTTATGTGGATTTCATAGTTCTTATGTAATAAATGCTGATTCGCACATACAGTGGCTCCCAAAAATGTTCGTACACTTATGATTTTCATTGAAATAGGGCTCTATCCATTAATTAAAAGTAAACTTTCTGATTGAGATTTTAATAATAATAAGATCTATAATCTATTCGTAGCAAAATTACATGAAATATTTTTAAAATTTAGCGAAACTTTATTTTTAAGAAATGAATAATCAAAAAATGACAAACATTTTGTCTCGCAAAATTCTTCATACACTTCAAAAAAATCTTGACATAGAAGTAAATTTTTCATTAAATTAATATTAGTAGGATATCCTTTAGCATCCACAACAGAGCTTTTAAACATCTGGGAATAGATTTTACTAGTTCCTTTTTTTTTTTTTTTTTATGTAATTTCTGTATCAATGTTCATCCATTCTTCCATCATGGCTGTTTTGAGTTCGCTTTTCGTTTTGATGCCGTGTTTTCGTACTTTAACATCCAGCTCTTTCCAGATGTGTTCTATGGGGTTTAAATCTGGCGACTGAGGTGGTGTTTTCAAAACCTGAGGACAATTATACAGAAACTACAGGCGAACGTTGAGAGCCATATACTTAGGATCGTTATCATGATTAAAAATAAAGTTGTTTCCAGTACCCAAATTTTGGACTGATAATTTAAAATTCTCTCTTATAGTCCTGATGCTGTCATGTCCCCCCCCCCACACACACACACATAAGAACACCTCCACCGCCATGCGCAACTGTTCCAAGTTCTTAGAATGAAGTACCTCATTTTTTCTTCTCCATACAGTTATTCGACCATCGGAACCAAAAATGTTAAATTTGCTTTCATCAGCAAATAGGACATTAATCCAGTACGTTCTGGGTGTATTTTGCGAATGAAAGCCTAAGTTTTCTGTTTTTCTCACTAACAAAAATTTTTTTTATGGGCAGAAAGCCCATGTAATCCAGTTTCTCTGAGAATTCGTCGAACAGTTTAAGGTGAATTTGAAGTAGAAAACTTTGCATTAAATTCTGCAGAAACTTTTACAAACAAATGTGGGTTTTTCACAAATTTTCTAATAATAAATATCTTATCACATTTAGTTAACTTTCTCGGTCAACCTTTTCTTACCTTGTTTTCAATCCGATTTTCTTCTTTAAAGCATTTTATCACATACTGCACTGTAGAATAGGATAAATTAACTAATTTAGCGATATTTCGAATTGATTTACCACTACTATGGTGAAAAATTATCAATTTTCGAATGCTTTTTATAATTTCTTTACAACTGGGACCCATTTTTCAATAATAAATAGAATATTATGAAGTAAACTATAAAAAATTAAAGCAAACAATTTTTTAATGCTACTACAATGTAAAAATTAAAAAAAGAGGGAAAGGATAATTCTAATTTTGAATTTATCCAAAAATATTTCAGTGTACAAAGACTTTTGTGAGATAAAATGTTTATCATTTTTTGATTATTAATTTCTTAAAAATAAAGTTTCGCTATATTTTAAAACTATTTCATGTAATTTTGTTACGAATAGATTATAGATCTTATTATTAAAATCTCGCTCAGAAAGTTTACTTTTAATAAATGGATAGAGCCCTATTTCAATGAAAATCATAAGTGTACAAACACTTTTGGGAGCCAATGTATATGATATTAAATTCTTGAAAAGTTGATTTTAAAATTTAATTATCACTTTTAAGATTTGAAACAGAATCCTTAAAAGGAGCTTTTTAATAATCATTTAAATATCATGTGGTATATCAGCCAAAAATGCATTTAGATTAATGAATGTTTTATTGTGATCTGAATCACTTCTCAATAAAAGGAAAGTAATTAGTGAAAATTGATAACTGCTTTTTCTTAAGTAAATGAACTTTCACACAAGGATATGTATTTTACAGTACCAATATTTATATCAAGGAAATATTTTTAACATAGATTATCAAATTATCATTAAAGCATTAAAAAGGGAAGAGGGCTTTTTTAACAGAAAGTACTAAGAAATTTTGATGAATTTCAAATTAGATTATATTCAAGTCATTTCTAAAGAAACAAGTTATATTAGAAATTATTAAATAAGTGCACTAACTTAAATGCATTTTCAGTTTATTTGTATAACAATTAAATGATATGCTATGGTAGTGTTTTTCAGAATATTAAATAATGATTGCATTTTTCTTTACATGATTTGTCTATTATCTCTTTATAGCCATTCCCTTTATATCATCCAACAGCAAGTTTTGCACAAGTGGTCCCAAAACTAAATTCAAAAGGAAAGGATTTACTTCAGGTACAATTTTAATATTTCTAGTAACTGTATTACTTTAAATTACTCTTCTCTTTCCAGTGTTTTAACAATATTGTTAAGATCTTTTTCTTTTCTGACATCAGTTGTTGCATTATTTTTTTCCTTCATGTTCATGTGGATTTGGAGTGAATAACGACGACACTTGATGAAGTATCGAAACACACTTTATTTACCAATATTAATCAGGACAGCTCCAAAACACTTTTACAGTTGTCGAAGATCTACAATAAACACGCTGGAACAATCAGCGACACAGCCTTCACACTGTCAGGCAATAACGGTGGATACAATTTCACTGCAAAGCACCAGAGTACAGCTTCCGACTCTGCTTGATCGTTCTCAGAACTCCACGTACTCTCGAGACACTCCATGCTACAACTCGTGATGCACTCGACGATACACAAGAGTATAGATATTGACTCAGCACAGTCTAAGATAAAACTCGATGATGCACTGATTCGCAATACACTAAAAGACTCTCAGGATGTACTCGACTACAAACTCGGTGCTAGACTTCAAGACACTCGCTCAATGACTGACTATCAGTTCGCTAGATGAGGCACACACATACTCAATACTAACTGACTGCGGGCCAGCAGGGTTTATATAGCTTTCGGCTTGTGTTCGAGAATATTCTGTCCTAAACCGATAAGAATTCGTTCCAGAAGGTTCTCCAACCGTCCATGGTTTATTGCGAATTTTCTCGCCAAATGTGGCAACCCTGCATTCCCGTGCTATATTATGGCAACCCTAAACCTGCTATGTAGGGAAGCTATCTTACAGTGGCTGCGCATTTTGTAACACTGCCCCCTCCCAAGGACTGCACGTTCCGGACAGTACAACCCTTGGTCAGAAGCCTAATTTGGTACAAACGAAACGTAATAAAACAAACAAATAACATAACTAAAGAAACAAACATTTACACTATGTACAAGTTATATACACAAATTAAACACGTCACAATTTTAAATTATACAAATTAAAGTCAAGAATGAATTTCAGTCTCAGTCTTTTCATTAAGATATACCCAGGTCAAATACTTTTCCACTGCAGTTCTCAGATGCATTTCTGTTTTGCATATTACAGTCTGAAGATATAGTCCTTTCAGACTTTTCATCCACAGAAAGATGTGAAACAGTTTGTTCACCACTCTGTAGTTCATTCGCAGCATGTCTGCAGTTCACCTCAGTATTTTTAGCAGATAGTACATGCTCATTTTCCTTCGTTTCCTAGGAACCAGCTCCAAATTCTGCATCAGAGTCATGAACGGAACCCGATTCTTTACAAACGGAAGCATCCTGGTTTAGAATTAAGTCCTTATCCGCACAATCAGCACTATTAGACGCGCACATAGTTTGTGAGATGGGTGAATTTTCTTGTAATACTGGAGCACACTGCTTCAGCTTCTTCAATCTCAGCAGCACATGAACTTTCAGATGGTTCAACACTTGCTGACTGCGTTTTTATAACTTCACTATCAGTTTCGAAGAACTCAATAATCGCATTTTCACTTTCTTCCGCTTCCACTTCAGGCACTTAAAAATCAAAAACTTCTTTACCATCTTTTATTTCTTCATGTTTTCATTCTTTTTCGTTAATCCTGTTAGATGCTTCATCCATCATTTCTTGATCTTTCTCAGGCAGTTTGTTAGTTGCTTCCTTCATCCTTTAATTCTTCAGAAGCCACTTCTCTCATTTCCACATCATCTTTTATGGCTCCAGTTTCTTCTGTAAGCTTCACTTTCACCTGTTAGAGTTGATCTCGCACCTTTTCTTGGCCACCATTTATTTCTTCTTGTCGGGCTTTCTTCTCTTCCAGTCAGGCTTTCATCTCTTTCAGTCCAGCTTTGATCTCAGCTGTCATCTCTTTATATCCAGCTTTTATCTCAGTCAGTCGAGATTTCATTTCAGCCTTCATCGTATCATATCCGCCTTTTATCTCGGCTAAAATGTCTATCAAAGTCTTCATCTCCTCCGCCATGCCTTTCCTCTGCAGGTGGGTCACTGGCATTCACTCACAAAACCCACTTCTGACACCAGTTGTTACAATTTTTTTCTGTTCTGACACCAGTTGTTACGTTATTTTCTTCCTTCACATTCGTAGGGGTTTTGTGTGGATTTGGAGTGAATAATGACGACACTTGTGGTGACGTATCGAAACACACTTTATTTACCAATATTAATCAGGACAGCTCCGAAACACTTTTACAGTCGTTGAAGATCTACAATAAACACGCTGGAACAATCAGCGCCACAGCCTTCACACTGTCAGGCAATATCGCTGGAGACAGCTTCACTGGAAAGCATCAGAGTACAGCTTCCATCTCTGCTCGATTGTTCTCAGAACTCCGTGTACTCTCGAGACTCTCCACGCTACAACTCGTGATGCACTCGACGATACACAAGAGTATAGCTCTCAACTCAGCAAAGTATAAGACAAAACTCGACGATGCACTAAAAGACTCTTTCGAGACACTCGCTCAATGACTGACTATCAGCTCGCTAGACGAGACACACACACTCGATATTAACGACTGCAAGACAGCAGGGTTTATATAGCTTTCGGCTTGTGTTCGAGATTATTCTGGGCTAAACCGATAAGAATTTGTTCCAGAAGGTTCTCCAACTGTCCATGGTATATCACCAAATGTGGTAACCCTGCCTTCCCTTGCTATATTATGGCAACCCTAAACCTGCTATGCGGAGAAGCTATCTTACCGCGCCTGTACATTTCGTAACAATATTAAAGTAGTCCAACCGCCCACTTGGTATGGTGGTTAGTCAAGCTGATTGCCCTTTCAATGGCCCCAGCTTTTCTCATGGCTGCTTGTAAATGTATATGGTCTGTGTGGCATCAGGGGCATACAAAATGTATAGCGAGCCAAAAGTTCTCTTGATGGTAGGGGAAGAGAGATGGGAGACACTCGAACCTGTCTCCCAAAGCTGCTTTCCTTCAAAATTGGAATGGAACAGAGCAAAGTAGTACTGTCAGTACTATATGGCGTTCAAGACTCATGCCAACAGTTGACACGATCTTGTATTCTCTGCCATGATAAAACTCGTAGGCTTGTTCTGATTAGGTCAGACATATGAGAATTAATTACAACAAAGTAGTCCCTTCGTCTATTATTTATAGCTTTACTTATAGTTAGGTGCAGGGCATCTAGAGATTAAAATCTGATTTTCTTCTGCTTCTTTGGTGCGAAATATTTAAAAATAAGTTTAAGGGAATCTGTAATCTTTAAAAAAGATTTTAATTACTGAATAGAAAACATCCTTTCTAAAGAAGTGAAATTGTTTAAAATATTTTGAACAAGTCATGTTTGTATTACGTAAGAAATTGTGTCACTACCATGCCCATCTAGTCTCAAGCATAAATCTGATGATCTAATTAAATGTGTGATAAAAGCATCATTTTTTGCTAAAATCTAAAATAGATCATCAGATATGTAAATATATTTATGCTCAAAATTGTACTATAGGAAAAGTATTTTTGTATCAGTTTGTTGTGTGTGTGTGGGGGGGGGAATATTATTTCACAAAATTAATGGGTATGCTGTCTCCACTAAAGGGACTTAGTGTTAAATTATTAAATGATATGTAGAGATAAAAAATGCATTAATGTTTTAATTATCAAACAGTATGTATAATGTTATATGGTTGCTATGATATTTGCAATGTGTCATCTCCACCAAAAATCCACAGAAAAGTATTGAAGCAATGCATCATGTCACAAAAAAATGTTTGTGACAACCTACATTGTTGCCAAAAAGTATTTATGTGCCAACACCACTGTATATATGTAGCAAACGTGTTTGAATGTGCATGAATTTGCACTTTTAATGTTCAACAGTCATTTTTCTGATAATTATTTCTTGAGACAGTTATTTTGTCATTAACAAATCATAATAGAATTGTGAAGTTTGCCTTCTATATTTATTACACTGAAGTTTCAGCTGTTCTTGAGTGATTGTGATCATGGCTAGTTTTGCAATGCTGAGGTTGTGTATGATGCTAAGTTTGTGCAGTTCTCTCTCTCTCTTTTTTCAATAAAGAAAACTGATTACTGTGTTCATAGAGGGAACTACTGTGGGAAAAAAGAGAGAGAGAGAGCTAGTTGTATGTATGTCTTGTATGGGAAAAGAAAAATGTACAAAAATAGCAGATTACATGGATACATTATTGAAACAGATGTAAAGATACCCAAACAAAGGTTTCTCTTCCATCAGAAGAAGTTTGTGAATGCTTTCCAAAGTTGCCCATAAGTGTGGAATTTTTTTGGTGGGGGTGCAGATAATAAGAAATCACTGTGGAAATTATTGATATGTCATTATTGTACAAGTGATGCAGCAAATTTTTCAAAAAGGAGAAAAGAATTAGAAAACTGTTTTCAGTTGTACCTTATGGTTCTTCAGCACATATACTGAATTCATTGTTATTATCAAATGTTACTGAACATGAAATATTTTCAAAATCACCAGCTTTCCCAAGTTATATGTAATAAGTTCAGTGAAGCTTATTTAAATATAGTCTTGCTTGCTTGTTGGGTTCGTTATGAATTGAATGCACAAGGCCGATGAAAAATGAACAAAATTTTCTGTTATCGCAACAAATAAAACAAAATGCTTAAATTTCCTCAGCTATTCGTGTGGTATTACAATATCTCACAGTAGTTATCTTTTAACTACTCAAATGTTCAACAGACTTGATTAAAAAAGCTAAAGAAAGCTAATCTGCGAATTCGCTACAGTCAACAAGAGCAGTTTTCTAAACAAACTCTTAAAATAACAACTAACGAACGAACGAACTGAGATGTTTTCCTCCCTTTTATAAGATTTTAAAATCACGCGCTAGAATTTTCCAGTACTTTCTCGAAATCAAAAAGAGATATTTATTTATATTATTAAATGCACGCGCTCTTGTATTTTCAATTTTCCGGCTTAGCTTTCTTTTAATATTCGTCACGCGCTGCACTGCGCGAG